CTTGGAATACACATTGATTGGCCGTTCTGTTCTAGAGATCTGAGAGTGGGAGTTGCTGAGTAGTTTAATAAATGACACAGGGCAGAGTACTGATTTTGCCAGGTGTACACAAGTACTGCTGGGAGTACTAGTAATCTCCTCTTTGAGCTTGTGATAAGTAACTTCCATTTTGCTTGAGGTGATTGTAGCTGTATTAGTGCATTTGCGACAGAAACAATTGAGTACTGACGTGATACTTTTTTTATTTGCGCTAACATAAAATTTTAAGGACAAGCTTTTGGGGAATGTCCCCTTCTTCAAGGTCCAAGCAGTACTACACAAAGTTTTAGCAGAATGTTAGAAGAGTTTTGGGGGGATTAGAGAAAAAAAAAAAAGCAGAAAGAAGAAACACAAGCCTGTGAGGTATAATTCACCTGGATGTTCAAAGTAGTTGTGACGATATGTACGGTTGTACTAAAACGTGTCAACGTTGCAAAATTGTGCTTAGGCATTTAGATTTGTTTTACCCTTAGGCGTGAATGGGTTAAGCATAGCTAGGAATAGCTCAGACATCTACTTTAACCACTTGCCCTCCAGAGGATTTCCCCCCCCCCCCCCCCCCCCCTTCCTGACCAGGCCATTTTTTTCAATATGGCGCTGCGTTACTTTAACAATTTTGCAGTCATGCAACGCTGCACCCCAATTAAATTTGCATCCCTTTTTCTTACCACAAATAGAGCTTTCTTTCCGTGGTATTTGATCATCTGTGCTGTTTTTATTTTTTGCGCTATAAACAAAACAGACTATTTTAAGAAGAAAACAATATTTTTCATTTTTTTGTTATTAAACATGTCCAGTAAAATAAAGATTTTAAAAATCAAATTTCATCATAAATTTAGCCAAATGTATTCTGCTGCATGTCTTTGCGAAAAAAAAAAAAAATCCCAATATGTGTAAGTTAACTGGTTTATGTGAAAGTTATAGCGTTTACAAATAGTGGTATATATACTGGATTTATTTTATTTTTTTTACTGGTAATGGTGGCAATCAGCGACTTATAGCGGGACTACGGCATGCATTCTGAAACTGGGGGGAACTGACTTGGTGTCACTGACATCCCCAGTGACACCAGTACAGTGATCAGTGCTAATATAAAGCACTGACACTGTACTAATGGCACTGGACAGGGAAGGGTTTAACATGAGGGGTGATCAAAGGGTTAACTGTGTTCTATGCAGAGCCATACAAAGCAGTGTGCAGGAGCTGACAGGGGAGAGATCTGTGTTGTTTATACATAGGTCTTTCCCCTGTCAGAGATACTCAGTGATCACCTGGTGCCAGCGAGTAATCACCATCACCGGGACACGGTGATTGACAGCTGAGGCCGCGATTGGTGGCGCGGGTAGGGCTTGGCACCCCCTACCCAAAACTGCAAAATTACGTATATATATATATATATATATATGTGATTTTGCGCACCCGTGCCACCCTGTAGCAGTATTTTGGAAGCGGTCAATGGTGTCCGTACACACTTTGATTTTATTATCTGATCAATGTGCAATTTAATCTAAATGACTGAATCGGCAAACAATCAAATAGCCATGACTTCCTTTGTGATTGATTTAGGCTGGCCATACATTTTACAATTTTCTTCAATTTTCATTTACATTTATCAAAACCATATAATATGAAGTCAAACCTAAACACTTTCAAATTGTATGTAGTCAGGCAGGTCCTTGCAATACATAGTTGAAGGTAAATCTAAAGGCATTTAAATGAGAAAATTGTGTAATGTATGGCCAGACAGTTCCTCCTTTTAGATTAGATTTGATCAATCTGACTCGATCTGCCACTGTGGAAAGTATATGGTATATTAGGGACAATATATGGCAGATTCTTTATTAAGGGTTGTTTACTGGGGAGGCATTAAGAAATGAAAGGAGACCAGCACCTGCTAAGTGTAGCAGATGAAACAACTTTAATGCTCACAAAATCAATGTACTCACAGACGTGGAGTAAAGAAAGGCAGGTAACGCTATGTGTAGCTGCCTTCACAAGTCCCAGTCCACCATGTGGAGAAGCTGCTGTGGTTTTTGGATCGGGACTTGTGAAGGCGACTACACAAAGGGGTTTATTTACTAAAGCTGGAGTGTGGAAAATCAGGCTCACTTCTGCATAGAAACCAATTGGCTTCCAGGTTTTATTGCCAAAACTTAACTGAACAAGCTGAGGTTTGAAGCTGATTGGCTACCATGCACAGCTGCACCAGATTCTGAGTGAACTAGCTTTAGGAAATCTACCCCATAGCGTTACATGCCTTTCTTTTGTCCACTTCTGTGAGCGCATTGATTTTTACGAGCATTAAAGTTTTTATCTGCTACATTTAGCTGCTGCTTGTCCTCTTCTCTTCTCTGCACATTTTCCAGAGTCGCTTCTTGCTCTCAGGGCTTAGCAGCCATTGCGTGGACTTACCTTACTGACCTGTTTGGTCAGTATGGACTTTACATAATTGCTTTTATTAAGACTTTTACGTCCAGTGGACTTGCACCCCTGCCGCCCACCACCACTATTACTCCAAATATTTCTCCCTTTCTCAACTGGGGAAGTGTAATGTTAGCCAGTGGGCAAATACTGTATATATGCATATGTATATGTTTGTATATATGTGTGTGTGTGTGTATGTTTGTATATGTGTGTGTGTATGTATGTATATATATATGTATATGTGTGTGTGTGTGTGTGTATGTTTGTATATGTGTGTGTGTATGTATGTATATATATATGTATATATATATGTATATATATATATGTATATATATATATATATATATATATATATATATATATATATATATATATATATATATATATATATCTAAAGTTAAGTTCAAAATAATAGCAGTGTGTCTTCTAATAGCTTTTATTTCCATACACATAAATGCATTGGGAACACTACACATTCTATTCCAAGTCAGAACATGAAGAAAAATATATCAAATTTGTGTTGTTCCTCTAAAAAAATTGAAGAAAAGTGAATATTAGACTGTTCAAAAAAATAGCAGTGTTTGTATTCTTCTTTACAAACTCAAACATTCACTATATAAACTGAAAAATGTTTGAAGATTTTGCTTTCCTTTGAATCACTTAATATTTAGTTGTATAAGCACTGTTTCTGAGAAGTGCTGTACATCTGTGTTGCATGGAGTCAACTAACTTCTGGCACCTGTGAACAGGTATTCCAGCCCAGGATGATTGGACTACATTCCACAGTTCTTCTCTATTTCTTGGTTTTGCCTCAGAAACTGCATTTTTTATGTCACCCCACAAGTTTTCTATTGGATTAAGATCTGGGGATTGGGCTGGCCACTCCATAAGGTCAATCTTGTTGGTCTGGAACCAAGATGTTGCACGTTTACTGGTTGTTTGGGGTCATTGTCTTGTTGGAACACCCATTTCAAGGGCATTTCCTCTTCAGCATAAGGCAGCATGACCTCTTCAAGTATTCTGATGTATTCAAACTGATCCATGATCCCTGGTATGCGATAAATAGGCCCAACACCGTAGTATGAGAAACATCCCCATATCATGATGCTTGCGCAACCATGCTTCACTGTCTTCACAGTGTACTGTGGCTTGAATCCTGTGTTTGGGGGTCGTCTGACAAACTGTCTCCGGCCACTAGACCCAAAAAGAACAATCTTACTTTCATCAGTCCACAAAATGTTGCACCATTTTTCTTTAGGCCAGTCAATGTGCTCTTTGGCAAATTGTAACCTCTTCAGCACGTCTTTTTTTTCAACAGTGGGACTTTGCGGGGGCTTCTTGCAGATAGCTTGGCTTCACATAGGCGTCTTCTAATTGTAACAGTACTCACAGGGAACTTTAGACCTTCTTTGATCTTCCTGGAGCTGATTGTTGGCTGAGTCCTTGCCATTTTGGTTATTCTTCTATCCATTCGAATGGTAGTTTTTCGCTTTCTTCCATGTCTTTCACGTTTTGGCTGCCATTTTAAAGCATTTGTGATCATTTTAGCTGAGCAGCCTATCATTTTCTGCACTTCTTTATATGTTTTCCCCTCTCCAATCAACTTTTTAATCAAGGTACGCTGTTCTTCTGAACAGTGTCTGTAACGACCCATTTTCCTCAATTTCAGAGAGAAATGCACTGTAACCAGCATGTACAACATTTGCTGCCTTCCTTCCTTAAATAAGGGCAATAATTGCCACCTGTTTTTCAAAGAATTAATGACCTCACTAATAGAACTCCACACTGCTATTATTTTGAACATGCCCCTTTCAATTAGTGATTCAATTACACAGAATCAGCAGCATGCATGTCATGACTGTTGGGTCTGTTGGATTTCTATTACTCTACTACACCTGCTAGTAAATTATTTGCCATGTAGAAATATCATTTCTACCAAAAACAGTGATTGATCAGGTTAGTGATGTCTGACTGCTATTATTTTTAACCACTTGCCTACCAGGCACTTATACCCCCTTCCTTACCAGGCCAATTTTCAGCTTTCAGCGCTGCCGCACTTTGATTGACAATTGCGCGGTCATGCAACATTGTACCCATATGAAATTTTGATCATTTTTTTCTCACAAATAGAGCTTTCTTTTGGTGGTATTTAATCGCCACTGGGCGCTTTACTTTTTGCGCTATAAATTAAAAAAAGTGCAAAAAATTTGAAAAAAAAAAAAAAAAGTTTATTTGTTTCTTTTATAAAATTTTTCAAACAGGTATTTTTTCTCCACTGATTTGCGTTGATGAGGCGGCACTGATGGGCACTGATAGGCGGCACTGATGGGCACTGATAGGCAGCACTAAAGGGCACTGATAGGCAGTACTAATGAGGTGGCACGGATAGGCGGCACTGATAGACAGCACTAATTAGGGGTCACGGATAGGCGGCACACTGATATGCAGCACTGATAGGCGGCACTGATAGGTGACACTGATGATGGGTACTGATAGACGGCACTGACTGGCATCACTTCTGGGCACTGACTGGTGGCACTGACTGGCAGCACTGCTGGGCTGCACTGGTGGGTGGGCACAGGTGGGTGGCACTGGTGGGCACAGGTGGGTGGCACTGGTGGGCACAGGTGGGTGGCACAGGTGGGTGGCACTGCTGGGCACAGGTAGGGTGGCACTTCTGGGCACATGTAGGTGGCACTTCTGGGCACAGGTAGGTGGCACTGCAGAGTGGCACAGGTGGGGGCACTGCTGGGCACAGGTGGGGGCACTGCTGGGCACAGGTGGGGGCACTGCTGGGAACGGGTGGGCGGGGCTAGTGGGCGCACTGCTGGGCAGAACTTGCGGGTGTCACTGCTGGGCACCGATCATCAGGGCACTGATCATCAGTGCCCTGATGATCGGTGCCGATCCCCGCTCTGACAACTGCCGGTTCTCGGCAGTACTTTCCTCACGATCTGACAGCGTGAGGAAAGTGCAGCCGAGAACCGGCACTTGCATTTCCCTGTGATCAGCGTGTCATTGGACACCGCTGATCACGTGGTAAAAGGCCGGTGGGATCGGCCTTTCACCACATCACGTGATCAGCTGTGTCCGTAGGACACAGCGATCACGGAGATCGCCGGGTGCGCGCCCCCTGGGGCGCGCAGGAGAGCGCGTTCTGGGAGGACGTCATATGACGTCCACTCAGAACTGGCCGGCCGCGGTGAAGCCGTCATTCGGCTATGCGCGGTCGGCAAGAAGTTAACACAACTGTGTATGTATGTATGTATATATATGTGTATGTGTGTGTATATATATATATATATATATATATATATATATGTGTGTGTATGTATATATATGACTTCATATGACTTCTAGTCAGGTGATGTGCTGAGTCGTCTTCCACTTCTGTGCTGTTGGGCAATCCTTCACTGATGCAGAAGAGAGCAGTGGTGATGGCATTAGCCCTGTTTTCTGCCTTAATACACTAGGAATGAAGGGTGCTCTGGTGCCCCCTGATTCATAGTATATCTCCCCATCTTCTAGGTTGTATGACACTGAGCATCATTCAGCCTGGAACACGGAGGACTTGAGTACTTCTGCTAGCTAAAGAGTTGTACTGTGGGAAGGGGTAATACACTGCTGCAGATTAAAGCTGTTGTCTAGGTATGGTGTTTATAGCATTGTACGTTGGTCCAGCGTGGACCAATGTTCGTATGTATGAAATATATACCTGAGCGGTTGCTGTTAAAGCTGCAAATCACTAGTATTCGGTGCTACTACATCGATAGCAGAGATCTTCTTCTAGGTTCCGTGCTGCGTACTGATCACAGGGGAATTCTCACTCCCTGCATACTGATCACAGGGGAATTCTCACTCCCTGCATACTGATCACAAGGGATTTCCTCACTCCCTGCATACTGATCACAGGTGTATGCTCACTTGGTACTGCTACCATCAGAGAACATCTTGTCTTTTGAACACAAGGCTTTTCACCTGCTGGTATTATTGTAGCAGGGGTGACTACTACAGCGATTATCAGGTATAAAATATGCATAATTAACATTGGGCCAAGCTGGACTAATATAATAAAATCATGCCTAGACTTAAGCTTTAAAGATGAATATGGCAGCGTGAGCTTCGTTTTTATTATGTAGACTTCCTGGGGACCAATTTAGATTAAAAAAATTCCCAAGAGTTTGATAAAGTGTAAAAGAGTACATTAAGATTAATAGTTATAAGTAGCCAAAATATACAAATTTTAACTAGATTCAGATAAATCATACAAATAACATATTTAAATTAATAAATGCAATATATTGCAGCTTACCAATAATTAGATGTGGTGGCTGCATTAGATTTATTTTTTAGGCTTTTTCCCCTCTGTTTTCACCTGCTGATCTGGCCAGTAGCAGAACTCCTGTATTAGAGTGCCTCCAATCTGGATGAAGGAGCACAGGGGCATATTTGGGATAAAGGTTTTACATAAAAGCTGAGCATTGTAAGCACCGCTGACACTGTTAGTTTGTCTCATCTTTGTAACTGCAAAGAACTTGTTCTTTTGAAAAACACCAGACTTACTGGCCATTTCATCATATGAAAGTAGCCTAAAAAAAGAAAACAAATGCAGCCATCATTTCCAAGAACTGGTAAGCTACAATGTAATGTTTGTTTTTAAGTATTCTGCTTTTCAAAAGATAATCTGGAATTGTAGTGCAACAGCCAGCAGTAGTTATTCACATTCAGCTGGACTTGTTCAGCAGTGTTAAAGGTGTTTTGCCATTTATCCAAACCAGTTCTTCAATTAATGAGTATCGGGAACCTTTTTCAGCATTTATAACGTGTTCACAAGAGACATGAAAAAAGTAATTGTTGTTAAACTGAAACCGCTATCCCTCAACAGGGGCCATCTTCCTTTTACATATAATGCCATTGTAACATCTCAGGCTAGCAATTTTAAAATTCACACCTTCAGCCATGGAAATCCAAGGATTAACACATTTTACAGACTTCCCTACACCAAAAGATTATGTGCTTAGAACAGTGTGGTTCCACAGCTTTCACACCTACCCACTGTTTTTGGACAATCAACACCTGCCCCAACACATTTCATACTGATTGGACTGTTACCTGTGTGGCTATAAAAGTTGGGGTATGTTTCTGTGTAATGATCAGTAAATACTTGTGTAAAATTGTCCTGTTGTGTTTTTTTTTTTTTTACCAATACCTGCATCCAGCATACAGTCAGGTCCATAAATATTGGGACATCGACACAATTCTAACATTTTTGGCTCTATACACCACCACAATGGATTTGAAATGAAACAAACAAGATGTGCTTTAACTGCAGACTGTCAGCTTTAATTTGAGGGTATTTACATCCAAATCAGGTGAACAGTGTAGGAATGACAACACTTTGCATATGTGCCTCCCACTTGACAAGGGAGCAAAAGTAATGGGACAGAATAATAATCATAAATCAAACTTTCACTTTTTAATACTTGGTTGCAAATCCTTTGCAGTCAATTACAGCCTGAAGTCTGGAACGCATAGACATCACCAGACGCTGGGTTTCATCCCTGGTGATGCTCTGCCAGGCCTCTACTGCAAGTGTCTTCAGTTCTTGCTTGTTCTTGGGGCATTTTCCCTTCAGTTTTGTCTTCAGCAAGTGAAATGCATGCTCAATCGGATTCAGGTCAGGTGACTGACTTGGCCATTGCATAACATTCCACTTCTTTCCCTTAAAAAACTCTTTGGTTGCTTTTTCAGTCTGCTTTGGGTCATTGTCCATCTGCATGTGAAGCGACGTCCAATGAGTTGTGAAGCATTTGGCTGAATATGAGTAGATAATATTGCCCGAAACACTTTAGAATTCATCCTGCTGCTTTTGTCAGCAGTCACATCATCAATAAATACAAGAGAACCAGTTCCATTGGCAGCCATACATGCCCACGCCATGACACTACCACCACCATGCTTCACTGATGAGGTGGTATGCTTAGGATCAGGAGCAGTTCCTTTCCTTCTCCATACTCTTCTCTTTCCATCACTCTGGTACAAGTTGATCTTGGTCTCATCTGTCCATAGGATGTTGTTCCAGAACTGTGAAGGCTTTTTTACATGTCATTTGGCAAACTCTAATCTGGCCTTCCTGGTTTTGAGGCTCACCAATGGTTTCCATCTTGTGGTGAACCCTCTGTATTCACTCTGGTGAAGTCTTCTCTTGATTGTTGACTTTGACACATATACACCTACCTCCTGGAGAGTGTTCTTGATCTGGCCAACTGTTGTGAAGGGTGTTTTCTTCACCAGGGAAATAATTCTTTGGTCATCCACCACAGTTGTTTTCCGTGGTCTTCCAGGTTTTTTGGTGTTGCTGAGCTCACCGGTGCGTTCCTTCTTTTTAAGAATGTTCCAAACAGTTGTTTTGGCCACGCCTAATGTTTTTGCTATCTCTCTGATGGGTTTGTTTTGTTTTTTCAGCCTAATGATGGCTTGCTTCACTGATAGTGACAGCTCTTTGGATCTCATCTTGAGAGTTGACAGCAACAGATTCCAAATGCAAATAGCACACTTGAAATGAACTCTGGACCTTTTATCTGCTCATTGTAATTGGGATAATGAGGGAATAACACACACCTGGCCATGGAACAGCTGATAAGCCAATTGTCCCATTACTTTTGGTCCCTTAAAAAGTGAGAGGCACATATGCAAACTGTTGTAATTCCTACACCGTTCACCTAATTTGGATGTAAATACCCTCAAATTAAAGCTGACAGTCTGCAGTTAAAGCACATCTTGTTTGTTTCATTTCAAATCCATTGTGGTGGTGTATAAAGCCAAAAATGTTAGAACTGTGTTGATGTCCCAATATTTATGGACCTGACTGTATGTGTTTACATATGTCCTCAGGTACAGATTTTTGGATTATGGATCTGAACACAGTGCATATTTACATGCCTATGTGAATGCCTCTATTGACAGCAATGCAGATGCATTTAGATCTGTAAATAAAAACACCTGTAAATGCGTTTTTACGACCATATAAATGAAGTCTAAATGCTGCTGTAAAATATGAATAAAAATGCCACAATGTGTGTAGACATATTGGCCAATACTGAGATGTATCTAGAGGCATAAAAAAGAAAAATGCTTCTAAAAGCAGCATTTTTTTCTGTTCATATAGCCTAACCATTACTAGTTATACCATGAGCTGTATAAATAAGAACCTTCACAGAAATTGTGAAAATGACAAACCATACAATTAGCCAATGAAGTTTCTTTGTAATGTTGTCTATCAGATATCTGAACATGATCCAAAAACACCTACATCTATCCTGGGCCAAAGCTCATTTAAAATGGTCTGTTGCAGATATCAAAATCTTCAGCACCAGGCCCATGATGCTCTTAATCGAGCCCTGGGAGAAGGCAGGGAAGAGGGAGAGCAGGAGGGGGCCGAGACGCTGCACCACGGGCCTCTGGGTTGTACTTGTCCCCTGGGTCAAAAATTACCAGTCAGTCTCTGTTAGAAGCTGAGAGGTCTTCTTTGCAGAAGTGAGCCTGATTTTGCACTCTGCAGATTTAGTTAATAAACCAATATGTGTGAGTTGAAGTGCTATACTAGATGAAGTATAAATCGGGTATGTTAAAAAAAAACAAAAAAGGGAAACAAACTAAATAAATCCTCTAAAATCAATTAGTTATAGGGCAAAACAGCATTGCAGAGTGCTAATGGAATATATATATATATATATATATATATAATCGTGCAAAAGTTCATTTATTTCAGTAATGCAGCTTAATAAAAGGTGAAACTAATATATGAGATCGGCTCATTACATGCAAAGCAAGATAGTTCAAGCCATGATTTGTCATAATTGTGATGATTATGGTGGC